ATAAAATACAATATGGAACATATTTGCTTAATATCTAACCTAAAATTTATCTAGCCTATTGATTTATATGGCATTGCCATGTGCTCCAAAATGGATGGTAACCATTATTTTTCCGCAAATTCTCCAGTCCTACTGCTTAGTTGATTGGCAGCATAGCTATACCACGTTTCCTAGTTCCAAGTATTTAAGTGGACTTCAAACTTGCTCGCAAAATTGTGGTTTCCTTTACTTTTCGAAAATTCTCCATCCCCGTTAATAGAGATGATTGGCTTGATATCTACCCTACTTTTCTAACTCAACGTAGTTAAGTGGCATTCGCACATACTTTTTAAAAGTTTGCTGTCCTTATTTTTCGAAAATTCTCCTACCTTTATGTTCCGATGAACAAAAAGGAAATGTTATTATAAAAATACGTTCTAATCAAAACGAATCCGAGTGTGCTGTATTTAAAGTCAATTAACATATTGTGCCTTATTATTAGAAGTAATAAAGGGATTGTTCTGGTCCTACATGTAGATGTCTGTAATAGTATTTTAATGTACTGATCAATTTTTAAACTGGAGATAATAAGTTGTTATTTGCTTTATCCCTTAAACAAGAACTGATATTATTGATATTATTAATGCAATCGACACCTACAGATCAGTGGGTCTAAATGGAACTTACACCAAAACTCAGAAAATGTCTTTTGTATCAGTGTCTAAGTCCTTAAAAAAAGTAAATAACAGTAGTATATATTAATGTAAATTTCCTGAGTCAGTGAAATTAGTAATGACATTAAAAATATCATTAGAAAAATGAAAATAATAACCATCCAATATGTGATATGTGTTTACGTCATAACAATATCGAAAAAAAATATATCAGCAATAGTATTTTTAATGTACTTACCAATTTGTAAATTGGATGTGAAGACTTGTTATTTGTTATATCCCTTAAACAATGACTGAGAGTATTAATAAAATCAACACTAACAGATTTTTGGGTCTAAATGGCATTCATCCCAACACTATGTCTATGTCCTTAAAAGAAGTAATGAACTGTAGCATCAGTAACAGTAAATTTCTTGAGTCTGTGAAATTTGTAATGGTATTAGCAGTCCATAAGAGAAATGAAAAGAATAACCCATCCAATATCTGATATATGTGTACGTTCTAGCATTATCGAAAGACATTGCAGCATGTATATTTTTAGTCGTCTTAACAGGTACCGACTAATATATAAAAAGAACACAATCAGGATTTGGATAGAAACATTCATATAAACTTTCATTGACGAAGCTAATACTACGTAGCCACTCGATATTGAATCAGAATAAATTAATGACGCAAATTCAATGATTTTTGTAAATTTAACAGTTGGGTGCTCATTAAAATATTATCAGCATACAATTCTTATATTACTCAGATATCTGGTTTACGTTTTGTATCACTAGCAGATCCCAGGTTTTCTTTATGGGAAATATACTTCCAATTTAAATCATATTTTAAGCTATGTTTCTCACGGATCTATATTAAAGCATTTCCTATTTACTATTTATCAATTACGCGGCCTTGTATAGCACACTCAGACATTGATGTTTTCTTGGTTCCTCTACACTGCAATCAATTATTAAATATCTTGACTATTTTGAAAATAAATTTCAAATTCAATCTTAACAACATTTCAGTTTGGTGTCAAAAAATACGAATGCATATTTGTGACTCTAAAGCAAAATGTATGATAATCAGAACATGGCTGTGCATATCTATTAATATGGCTTTGCTTCTAACTCAAAATGTCGTAGGCTTTTTGACTGGTAAAAATATAAACCTTTTTGATATCTACACTTAAATACCACTATCAATCACATAATACATTTTTCAAAATTAACTGAATCAATCTTTATCTCCCCAGTCACTAGAACATTATATTTTGGTTGTATTTTACTACCACTAATAGATCACAGCTGTGTCATGTGGCAAAACACATCCAATTATAATCTAACCTGAATCGAAATCCTCCAATAAAGGACCGCAAGGATTCTTCTGGATTGTCCTTTTACTACCCCGAGTGTTCTGTTTTCACGTCTATAATGGCGACCTATACAAATTATTCTCTATTTGAAAGAATCATTACATATAATTCATTAAAAGCATATTCTCCACATTATATCTTTTGCATAACTTAACTAATTTTATCTTAGTCTGCGAAAAAAAAACTAACACTCATCTACAGATTCTTTAATTATGCATGAAATATTGTCTTTTGACAAATTTAGTTTGAAAATGGTTATGCTAAGCTTCCAAATGGAGGTCCTAGTTATTTACTATACTAATCGACGTTAGAATTCTGATCAATTGCCAAAACTAAACAGCATTGAAGACCAGAAAAGTACTGTTTTCTCCAGCATATTGTTGGGATAGGATTTTCGTTAAGTGTAAAATACATTATTTAAATCCTTTATTTTTGCTGTTAAACTAGGTGGTTGAAAAAATCATTAAGCCAAATACGACTGGTACTGTGCAAAGGTTTTAATTTTTAATTTCTTTTTATTTTATTGGAATGGGGTGTAAATTCTTCATCATGCTAAGTTTATCTCATTACTTGCGTTTCCTTTCTCTTAGAGGTTCAAGAAACGTACTAAAAAAAATCTAAGATTAGGCGTGGCTGCTTGATGTTCTTGCTTAAAATAGTGTGTCTCAAGGTAGTTAGTCTGCGTTAGGTTAAACAATTTAGCAAATTGAGACGTTGAATATTCAGCTAAAACAAAACCTATTGACATATTTTTGGCAATTAACAAAACAGCACGTAACTACAAGGAACAAAATTCATTTTCACCGTTTATGCTTCTTCGTACGTCGGTGGAGCTGGGCAACCTTTAAATTCGTATGTTCTTGGTCTATCATCTGTCTGTATGGGTATTAAACATTGTGAGTAGAAATTATTTAAGAGGAAACATTTTCTCCGATTATTCATTGGAATTACAAAATGCTCATTGGACTCAAATTGCATTCTGTGATAATTATGAATTATTCAAAGAAGCATGGATAATGCCATTTTGATACAATCAGGACTGTTGACAGACCGGTACATTCACGAATCCGAAAATCTTTCGAAACATTTGATTCGTTTCTACGTGAATAGAACATTACATGACCAACTTGAATTCAATTCATGGTAATGTAAATTTCTTCAATATTTCATTTAACAAATGTGATAACTAAATCTTTTACAACTTTTACAAATCTTAATGGTTTTCCTTCTTTCTTTTACTTTATAATCATATATATATATATATATATATATATATATATATATATATATATATATATATATATATATATATATATATATACATACATACATACATACATACATACATACATACATACATACATACATACATACATACATACATACATACATACATACATACATACATACATACATACATACATACATACATACATACATATGAGATTAACAGAGACGAAATTGATCATGTTTAAGTTTTATGTATTCTGAGTGCATTAAAAGTTATTTGTGAAAACCGCATGATATTGTGATAATAATCATCCAGCCAGGTGGAGTAGTTATAAATAACAAAGTCATTAAGACTGCCTGGTTACATTTTAATTTACGACCAATTAGGTTTCATAAGAAGTCTCTTGTTTAAATCCTCATGCTGATATACACACATAATATATATAATACCGTGCTAGCATTTCGTAAGTAATCTTAAATATCCTTAATTGTTTGACTAGCAATTTGATAGAAATCTTTTTTGAAATTACACCAACATTTGTTTTTAATTATTACTATTGTTCCAACAGGATAATCAGCACCAACTGTTTGTCTGAGTTTTCCTCTTTTCCACAGAAACGCTTTGTGCAACAGTAGATAAATATCTTCGTCTCGAGTATTTATTGTTCTTTGGCAAGGTTGATTATTTGTATTTATGTGTATTTATATTGTCGTCGAGATACGCAATATATTTAAACTGTGTTTTTGAGTCTTCGAAGTCCTCCATGTTAGAAAAGTAGAGGGAATCTCTTTTTGACATTTATTTTGTTTATTACACAAAATTATTCCGCCTTCATTGTTATGTCTTAGGCTCCATCTTGTCATTGCTCGCTTCAAGAGAGATATATCCATCTGATTTAGCAATTGCATCAGTACCAAATAGAGTGGCTAGGTTAACATCTAAAGTGAAATTTATATCAATATCAGCTGGCCCAGAAAATCTCACGTTGTTTTCTAACATCAAAATAAAAAATTGTGTAAATTGTTGTTAACGATATTTGCGCTCATCACCAACATATTTATACTTCTGCGTCGACTCAAGCAACATTGTTTAACCTCTTGAGACATAAAGTGTTGCTGGTGTGAAATCTAATTCAAGTTCTTTGGCTGGGTATTTTCTCGAGTTATATTCTAATCAGGTTGTAATGACTGAATATCATCTTATTCTCCTCTTTAGAATTTAGACTCAGCCTTAGTCTAAAGACAATCAAAGTAACTGGTTGACTAGAACAACTGTCCTTTTCATGTTATGCGTTGTTGTCAGGAAATGTACCAAATACATTTTTATGATGAATAATTCTAACATTGACATTAGCTGTTTGTTATTGGAGAAAATCGTTTTGGCAGTGATAATCGTTTGATCTCAAACTCACCGTTGGCAGCAGCTGCTGCTCTGTGCATGGAATTATCTTATTCGCCTCTATCAAAAACGATTGTGTATTTGACTACTCTAAACATAGTATTAGCATCATGACAAACACCAAAGATGGATGTCAGTGGAATAAACAGAGTGAAATCAGCAATTGTATCAGTTAATGTTCTTCTCTTCGCAAACCCTGCATTGTGAGACCCATTTTATCTTATGCGAAAACGTATTATGTTTATAGAGGATTGCAACACCATCAGCTGCTGTTCTAGATAGGTAATTCTGCGTACGTTACAATGTGCTATTAGACTTGCCCTAACTGCAGTAGCATCAGCAGCTGCTGAGACCCGCTCTGATGGCCTAGTAGTTAGAGCGTCCGCCTCCAATGCGGTAGGTCGTGGGTTGGGTACCCGGCCGATTCATACCAAAGCCTTACAATAATGGTACTAACAGCTTTCTCGCTTGACACTCAGTAGTAAGATGTTAGTGTTAAGAATGGCATTCCTGGTGTCAGGACAATATGACTGGGTTGGACATCATGCTACATGCATGGGCATGATGCTCCAGTGGTATACATCATTATAAAATGCGACACAGCAAACATCGTAGCGATATGGCTGAAAATAATTATTATTAAAGTTACGTTAAGAATCCAAATCAGATTATATCACATCACAGCAGCAGGTAGAATACCAGGACCCATTTGTGGATTGAGAGCATTAAGAGAAGTCTAGACTTTTATCGCATCACCCGCTGAAATTGAGCTGTGGGAAATCACTTCTCCAGCTGAAGCAATATTGCTGGTCTCCTCACCACCATCACCAGTGTCATCGTACCAAAACATGTTAGTTACTGATGATCTAAAACATTCATCCTTAAATGAAATCAAGTTTAATATTGTGCTGAATATTGACAGATTGTTGCTGATGCCTTCGATTACTCTAGTATCAATTCGATACTGAGCGCTTCTGAAAACAGACCAAACATTGTTTTATAGCGTGACACCTACCCCAGCAGCATATGGTGCGCATCTGACTGTCTTATTACACCACGCATTTCAAGGAAAGATTTTGAGGTAACAGAAAAATACTAGATACTCAATGTAATCGAACTGCGTTAATGAATCATTAAAATCATTAATTGTAATTTTGTTTTGTTGTGTGCATAAAATGAAAATCTACGTTCTCGTCGTTCTGTTGATTGTTTCAGCTTTAGTAATATATCTTCACAAATTCTATGTTGTTTTTCATGGCAACAACTGTTTCTTTGCTTGGTGCAAGTCGTTTACATTGGCATTGGAATAGAAATTGTCTGCGCGACAGCAGCTGGCAGACGTTTTATCTTATCGGCAATCTTTTGACCAGATGCCGATGCTGTTCCAGTAACAAACGCTTTTGACGAGTCAAATGCAATTGGCACACCTTTACAGGCTATTTCTGGTATTACCTCAATAAAACTCGTGAAGATAAATTCTAAAAAGCCGGCTATTATTTCTTCACCATGTAAATCCTTCCAGTTCCCATGATGTTATTGCTGGACACAAAATGAATCGTCTTTTCTCAGGTGTAATTAGTATGTTACGTGCTCGTTAAGATCAATTTATCTGCCAGATTGAATGGTTAGTGTCATTCTGATACTAGTTTTTTTCACCTCAGCATTAATTGGGTAAGATATCATCTGACATCATTGAATCTGCAGAAGCGAACCCAGTAGAACATTCGGTGAAAATATGTAAATTATGTGTCCTCTTCCACTTGTTGGCGCGAGAGAAGTTTCCGCTATTGAGCAGTTTACATCTGATTTTATCTATCGTCAAAAGAACCAACTAGTCCTTCTTCACGAACTGATTTCAGCTGTGCTGGCTGTAGTGTAGATTCAAATGATTTTTTTCTGCGAGTAGATCTGTTGTTACCGGTTTGAACAATTTTTCGAGATCTTGTTCAACTTCACTCATGCATTATTTAGCGTCTATCCAAGCTAGTTTCAACAGCTTTAATTGTTCGATAAGTTTATATTAGATTTCTGGTTTATCCATTATAATAAATCATAGCATAAAACGTTATACTCAACCATGGGCAAATCGTTGTTTGCATGATGTTGTTGGGTATCCCTCTTATTTCTGTAATAATTTCAACAACGGTGGTGCAGACTTTCTCAGTTGAAATCAATGACATGAGACGATCAACCTCATCGCTCAATGATTTTTCATAAAATAATCATTTGCTCTTCTACAAAAATTATCAAAGTTTTCGTTGAGGACATCAGATATGGTTCCCATGTACACTTTTCACTCTTATTTCCTTTTTTATCCAGATTTTTATAACCATCAATTATCAGCCATGGAATCTCGTGAATTGCAGACAGAAGCACGTTTCATGCAGCAGATTCAATCGTTTCATTGGACGAGTCAAACGATTTTATTAAGAGACTTAACAAATTTTGCGTTTCTTATTTGAATAAATTTAGGGACTTTTTAGCCTTAATTTATTCTTATGAGCCTAGGATAACGGAGTAGTCATTACCAAGTCTATTCATCAATGTTATAATGATGTGTTCAACGTTTACACTCTTAAAAACCTCGTTGATCAGATCGTAAATCTTTATCACATATTCTGATTTAATATCAATGCTTTGTAATTCAATTTGTTCTGACAGATCTGGTGAACGGTGATTTAACGGTCTTCAACTGCTCCTATATTTTAGCTAAATCTTCATCTGTCTTACTAGCTTTCTCTTCAATTTTATATATGACAGCGTCTTGCCTTTCATCAATTGAAAGACTGTTCTCCTTAATTTTGTTGATGTTGCAGGATCCGTTGTTGTATCAGTAGATTTCTCAGCAAGTATAGCAGTTGTTACAGATTAGACCAGTTTAGTAATGTCCTCCTCAAATTTATGCTAGCCTAGTCTAACAGAGGTTCAAAGGTACCACAGAATATTAAGTTGCTTGATTAATTTACACAATATTTCCCTCTAATTCATATTACTCTATTCTTACAAAAATTGATCAATATTACGACGAAACGTTTTAGAGGTGTCGTTACAAAATTTGTTGTACAGCAGAAAATCAAGCTTGTAGAATTGTGGTAGTAATCAGCAAAACGTTTTATTTCAGACATCGTTGCATTGTTCTCAGGAAATATTTTGAATATCAGTGTTGTCTACGAAAGATAAGAATATGAAACATCCTGCGTTTCTCCTGATAAATCGATCAACGTTAAAATAACACCGTGTTCGATAAATTGTGTTGCTGCGTTTATTTTTTGACAAAGAGAAATATGATTTTATCTCTTGTATTTCACTGTGCTCATGTGGTATATCATGAAACACATGAACTGTAATTTTAGTTGCATCTAACTCAGAAACTGGAGTCACTTGATCTGGATCCTCCATCATAAAAATGTTTTCGACTATGCCAAGTTCATCACGCAACTTGTCTTGAAGTTGCTGATACTTTTCCTGTTGCGTGTGTTATCTGGAAATAGTGACCCTGTCATAATTTAGACCATTATTTAATAAAAGGTTCATTAGATTTATCTTACCAGATCTAATGCAACCGACTATCAAAAAGAGGCAGTTGGAAAAGTTGAAATTGTGTTTATAAGAGACAACGTTCTCAGTATCAAAATTAATGATGTTCATTTTATAGCTAAGTTTTATACAAAATACACAATAAAATGAGTTATTATACTACGTTTGGGACATTAATGGGAGGAGCAGTTGTTTGCGACGTCTATGTTCTGCGATAAGGTGACAGCATGACGGGTAATCTGAACATGACAGGGTAGAAGATAATACGTCTTTAGACATCTTATCCTTTGGTTAACGCTGATTTAACACAAACAGCCAGCTTCAGTTAACTAAAAACGCTAGGTGCACTGAAAGTGAATAAAAGCGGCGGCACCATCTCATGTAATCTTAACATGGACGACAAACTTGGACATTGTTTATCCACTACCAAATGGTAATATAACACAAGCTGTTAGCTTAAATCAGCTGGACAAAGTAAATAGTTCAAATGGAACAAAAGGGGCGATACAATGACAGTTGATCTCAATATATCAAACAAAAAGATAATAAATCTTGAGACAACTTATCCTTTGTCATGTGGTTATCTGTCTCAGGCTGCTAGTCTAAATCAATTAAACACTCTGAATAATCGTTAGGAAAATATATATGGCAACATAATGGTAAGTAATTTAGTATTTACTAGTGATAAGATAACTAGTTTACCAGCAATATTTCTTCTGGTGATACTAATGCCGTAAAGATAAGTAAGAATTAACAAAATATGCAATTGATAATCAGTTGTATTTTTGTGAATAATGTAAAGCAATGGCAAGCTTTCTGGAAATGTGTGAATCACTGTACAACGAAATTGTAAAAGATTCTGTGCCGTATCCATTTTTGAAAATTTACCAAAATTCTGATCTTGAGGTGTTGATAATAGACCGTAAAAAAGTGGACAAAATTAGAGGCAAAGTATTGACAGAAAAGATTCACACTACAAAGTAATCCTTTATTTTTCAAAAGAAAAATGATGGACGTAGCGAAGTGGAGAAAAATATCGCTGATTTGATTGATAAGATGATAAGTTAAATTAGCCTAGACTTTGCCTTGTCTTTGTTAACTAGAGCAATTTAAAAAATAGAAAACTGATGAGAACAATAATACAAAACATAATGTGATTACTGATCATGCGAAAAAGCAAAACGCAAATAATAGATAACAACAAATTTCTTAAGAGATGTTTTCATGACAAACTAGGTTTAAGTTGTAAGGATTTTGATCTGTTGATAAAGATGTAGGATATGATAAATGATGGAGTGATTTTAGGAACAGCTTATTTGGTCTTGTTCGGCAACATAATAAAGTGAAATACTTAATGGTTATGCTGTGTATTATGCTACGTTAAAAGCACTTAGAACTTGAAACAGAAAAAAAATTGTCGATGAGGGGAAAAAAGGCTGTTGATGGAATAAAAAAAACAATTTTCTGTTTCGGATAAAGCAGGCATACTTTAGAAATTGTATCAATTCAGTGAGCAAAAGATTTAAGGTTGAACACAGCCTTTACGTAGTCTATGACGCCTTGTTGCATATCTCGACTAGTACAAAAGTACCAAAGAAAAGTGAAGCCAACAAGCTTTGTAAATTTACAAAATAATTTATTTCCCTAGAAAATGAGATAAGAATGTGAAAAATGAATCAAATCTACAAATAAATCTACAAATAAATCCAATAATCAAAAATATGTCATATCACTAAAAAGTTATATGTTAATCAATAATTGAATCTCGATGAAGTTCCAAAATGAAGTTGATGACGTCGTCTATAATCTATTATGAGTTGATGTGTCATTAGGTTCTTGGTTAATCACCAAGATTAATAATTCTGCTTTAAAATTCTTAATAACTTTCAGTAAATATTTTT